GGAGCCCGATGCGGGGCTCGATCCCAGGACCCTGGGATCATGACCTGAGCCGAAGGCAGACGCTTAACGACTGAGCCACCCAGGCGCCCCTGAAGTCAAGATTTCTAAGCAAGGAATCCCATGTTCAGAAGCATGAAGGGACAGCACAGCTTGGATGTCCACAGAATTCAGAACTTGTATAGTAATGCTGGTGACAGAGATTGGACTGGAGAGAGATGCAAGATTCAGATCATGACATAGTGAGGAACTTAAATTTAGGTGACTGGGAGCCACTGAAGGGTTTTAAATGGAAAGGAAGTGACATGAGCAGACTTGTGTTTTAAATGGATTCTTCTGGTAATGGTGGATTTGAGGGAGGAAAGACTGATGCTGGCTGGGAAGGTTATTCATCTAGGAGGCTGTTGCCATGGCGAAGGCCAGAGGTGGTGAGAGCTTGAGTAAGGCAGTGGCAGTGGGAATGGCTAGTGGAGGAGTTGGATTCAAAAGAGAGAAAGGAGTTAAAATTGATAGGCTCAGAGGGTGTTTTTGGATGTGTGTGTATGTTAAGAAAATGGAAAAGTCAAGAATGATGCCCAGGTTTCTGAGATGTGCGCATTGCATTGTGAAATTATGAAGTCATTGTAGTGGTGAAAGAAGCCAGATGACAGTGGGTTGAGGAGTGACTAAGGAGATAGAGCCATACATGTAAACTCTGAAAACCTCTAGTGAGAAGTCGGAGAAAGGGGCGGTGAGATCGTGGGGAAGTTTTGTTTCGTTCATTTTGGTTTTGTTTCTTTAAAGGATGGAAGACACTTAAACTTTTTAATAGGAATCAAAACTCCTTAATGGAATGAGGTTCTAAAAGAGATTGGAGAGCTTGGGTCAAGAGCAAAGGTATTGGCAGTAAAGGAAATATTTCGAATGACTGGTAGGTAGAGTACTATAAGAATTGAGAGGAAGGGAGAATATTCCTTGGGAATGGTGAGTCCAGCCTCACGAAGAGGTGAGATTTGAGTTTTGAAGATTTGGCTTTGAAACCTGGGTAAGATTTTGATAGGTAGAAAAAAGGAAGAGTGCATTCTAGGAAAGGAAAATTGTCTGAGAGTAAAGGTGCAGAAGTTTAAGGTGTGCTCGGAAGAAGGTGTGCGGATCAGATTCATTGGAGGGGCAGTTTGTATACGGTCATACAGAGATAAAATGGGCAGGGCGTGTTATGTTTAGTTTATTGATTTTCAGGCTAAGTGATTTGAGTTTTATCTTGTAGGAAGAGAGAAGTGATTGAAATTGTTTGACCAGGGAGTTGACATTTTGAGAATACCCTTTCAGGAGAATTGATTTGGTGTAGGATGTAAGATGAACTGAAAACGATAAATTGTTGACAGGGCAATCAGGCAGCTGCTGCAGTAGTTCAAGTATGAGGTAATAAGGGTCTGAACTAAGATGAGGGCAGCAAAGATGCAACAAAAGGAACTGATCCATTCTAAAGACCATCAGTAAGAAAAGGCACAGTTTGAGGGTGACGGATTGTGAAGGTCAAAGAAAGGGCAACATAGCTTAAAAGTCTAAGAAGTATGATGGTAACAGTCATAGGGAAATCATGAAAGAGAGATTCTAACAAACCTTTATTGAGACTTCACATACAGTGATTTTAATGTTTAAGGTAGACCATTTATTTTAGATGGGTTTAATAATTTGCTGCTTTTTGTTAAGGTTAATTTATTTTCTGACTTCCACTAGAAAGCAGGAATTACATTTCAAATCGACAACCATTTGCCAAACCTAGTCAATCTCAATGAAGATCCTCAGCTATCAGAGATGCTATTATATATGATAAAAGAAGGAACGACGACAGTTGGAAAGTATAAACCAAACTCAAGCCATGATATTCAGTTATCTGGGGTGCTGATTGCTGATGATCATTGGTATGTTATTCTTCTAAAAATAAAAAGGCTCCTGTTCATTTTTTTTAGTAGGCTTCCATATCTTGATATGTATGGTTTCCTTCACATGAGGCATTCATTTATACTGAGTCTTTGGTATAATCCTTCCAATGCATCTTTTAGCCAAGAAAAACAGACAGTCTGAGTGTTTTGTAAGGAAGATAGGTTAATTACTGTCAATATGAGGTAGAATGTAATGCTCTCTATTTCTGTTTTGGTGTATGTGATCTGTTGGTTGAGGGATCATTTCTTGGAATTATACTCATTGGCAAGAAATTAAACTTCTATCCATCTTATATGGCAGGATTTTTGGTTGGATTGACAAATTTAAAATTTTTTGTTTCATGTGAATTTTGTTCGTATGAATTGAATGATTATATACATATTGTTGGGATGATAGTTTATGCAAACTGCTTTGGCTTCATGTTGTTTTCAAGATTCATTCATTTTGATGTTCTTTTATTTTTACTGCTGTGAAGTATCTTATTGTGTGCATTTATCTACCTTTAAATTATTACAGTCTGTCTCTTGATAGACATTTGGGTTGTTCCTAATTTTTTGCTATCACAATATTGCTATGCATATTCTTATACATATCTCTTGGTACAAATGTGAAGAGTTTCTCTAGAGTGAGTTTCCCAGATGATAAACTGAGATATGAGCCCTTAATGGTTAGCCAGTAGGAACTTAGGAGGCCTTACCTACCAGACTAGTCATGTCTAACTGTGAGCAACCTTTCTATTGACCACAATCTGCTGTATAAATATTACGATTTTCTAATTATGCTATAATAATAATTTTTAAAGTTTGGGAAACACTCTTAAATTATATCTAAAAATACTTGAGATATTAGATTGTAGGGTATATCTTATTCAACTTTACTTAGTAACTTCACATTGTTTTCCAAAATGATTATGAATTTTTACTTCCACACCACTGAGAGTGTCTATTACTCCACATCCATGTCAACACTTGGTACTGGCAGACTTGAATTTATGCCAGTCTAGTGAACATGATATGTTACCTCATTGTGGATTCATTTTGCGTTTCTTTGACTAAAAATCTCTTCATGTATTTATTGGTTATTTTAGTTTGCTCTTCTAGGACTTGCCTGTTCATGTCTTTTGTCCATGTTTCAGTTGGATTGTTTGTTTTTTTCTTAGTAATTTATAAGAGTTCTTTATATATTCTGATTGCCAAGCCTTTGTTTTATTTGTTGCAATAGTCTTTTTTCCATGTGTGGCTTATCTTTTCACTCTCTTTTGGTGCCTTATGATTGATTCAAAGCTCTTTGTTTTATTGTAGTACACAGCCTCAGTCTTTTTCCATTACAACAATTGTGGTCTTGTTTAAGAAATTCTTTCCACATTGAGGTCATAGAGATGTTCTCCTAACTTTTCATTTCTGTTTTTCTTTTTTAAAGATTTTATTTATTTATTAGAGAGAGGGGGAGAGAGAGATTGAGATCACAAGAAGGGGGGGAGGGTAGAGGGAGAAGCAGACTCCCCGCTGAGCAGGGAGCCCGATGTGGGGTTCAATCCCAGGACTCTGGGATCATGACCTGAGCTGAAGGCAGTTGCTTAACTGACTGAGCCACCCAGACGCCCCTCTCCTAACTTTTCTTCTACATGTTTTGAAGTTTTGTTTTCACATTTAAGCCCTTAAGTAGTCTAGAATTTTTTGTTTGGTGTGAAGTAGGGGTCTGAATTCATTTATTTCTCATGTGAATAACCAATTCTGCTAATATCATATATTAAATAGTATATTGCTTCTTTTGTGATCTGAAGTGTTCATATAAAAAATTACCAAAAACAAAGTCTTTTTCTTCTCACTAGTACTCCATAGTCTTAATTATTTGAGCTTTATAATGTCTTTATATCTGGTATGCAAATCTCCTTCTTCTTCAGGTCCTTTTGTTCTTCTATTAGTTAACTGTTTTCTATAACAAATAAGTGTAGTATTATTTACACCAGTGACAAAGATACATAACATGATCCCAAAGTGTTAGGAGTCCAGTAGGGGAGTAGGAAGTCCTCTGCTTGCCTGGCACTCTGCATTTCCCCTTTTAGTACACTTATCACTATTGTCTTACTATACCATGAACTTCATGAGTGTTGGTTTCATGTCCATGTTCATTGCTGAGACCTATCTGGCACATGGGGGCTTAATGAATAAAAGAACTTCAGTACCTATCAATGTAAATTAATGTTATATGGGACTTGCCTTCTTAATGCTTAGAAGTAAAATCCACTTCTTGCTTGAGCCAAAAAGATAAGCTTCTAGCATTTAAGTTGGGCCTTGAAGGATGAGGTAACATTCTTCCTATGTTAGAGAAATGACTCAAAAGAGAGAAGCTGATGTCAAGGCAAATTCAGGGTACTGATATGGATGATTAAGAGTAAGATATGGTTCTGGGACACTCGAGTGGCTCCGTCAGTTAAGCGTCTGCCTTTAGCTCAGGTCATGATCCCAGGGTCCTGGGATCAAGTCCCACATTGGACTCCTTGCTCAGCAGGAAGTCTGCTGCTCCCCCTGCTTGTGCTCACTTGCCCTCTCTCTCTCTCTGACAAATAAATAAATAAAATCTTTAAAAAAAAAAGAGTAAGATGTGGTTCTTATGGGGAAATAATCGTGGATAAAGAATGTTGGTGGTGAAGCCAGATTGTGGAGGTTTCAGGATGCCAGGCCAAGGAATTTTGAAAGACCTAGGAGAGAGAAGGAATCAGAACAAGTAGATCCTGTTGAAACCTTTACCTGGTTAAAACAGTGGACTGGTGGGAGGGACATACTGCTGAGGGGTGAGCTATTCCTTCCAGACTCTTTTCTCTAGGTGCTACAACTGAACTGTTATTCTTTAATTATAGATCTTAGAGCCTAATCAACAGCTAGAGGTTTTGGGTTAGGACTCAGCTTTTGCTGCAGTTTTTTCCCTCTCTGTCAAGTTAATCCAAAGATGAATTGGACTTTGGAGTGTCTTTCCTATTCTCCAAATAAAAAGATTCAAAGGAATATGTAACATTTACAGCTGATTTTCCATAGTGTCAGGGTCTAGTTAATTAGATGACTAAGGAGTGTGTTTTTATCTCCATGCTTTTCTTTCTTCTGTATTACCCTACTTTTCATAAAAGGAAAATGTTTGTTTCTTTTCATCTTTAAAACTCATACATAAAACCAGAAATTAGAGAAATAAAACACTTAAAAGTGTTTCATTCATCTGTAACCATTGTCAATATTCTAATGTTTTTTCCTTGAATTTATTTCATTTTATTTTATTTTTGGGGAGAGGGTCGGTATTTTTTTTGAAGTAGTTATGGTTAAAATACATACAATGAAAATTCTTCCCAGCACTGATGGATGGGATTGCTCAGGCTTTTTTGCCAAAACTTCAAAATGTAGTTGGAGCAAAATAAAATAATTTTAAGTTATTTTTGTCACAAATTGATATGAAGCAACACCAAAGGAATAATCCAAGCAGGATTATCTTGTATTGCCTTTTTCTTTTTCATCTGTCCTGTAATTATAACAATGTACTTCTTATCTTAACAGTACTATAAAAAATTTTGATGGAATAGTGAGTATCATCGCAGTTGGAGAAGCAAAGACATATATAAATGGAAAACATATTTTGGAATCCACAGTATTACATCATGTAAGTTAGCCAGTGCTGAAATCTAACAAATTGTTTGACTTTGGGCAAGTAGTTTAATTTATGTGAGTCCCAGTTTTCTCCTCTGTAAGATAAGGTAGTGAACTAGATTAAGGACTTTCCAGTTCTAAAATTCTCTTTTCTATTAATTCATTAATTGCCTTCATTTGTGCAAAGATAAAAGTTAAATCACTATAAACCAGTACCTGAAGAGCTGACTACTGACAGCACCATTATGTGTCCAGAAAAGAGCTGAGCTTTGGAAGTAAGCCCTGGTTATTTGCTATGTGACTTTTGAAAAAAGTTATTTAATTAGGGTGATTGTATATCACTGAAGTCAGGACACTGTTGAGAGCATTTTTAATAATTACATTGGGAGAGGGGCACCTGGCTGGCTCAGTTGGAAGAGCACGTGACTCTTGATCTTGGGGTCCTGAGTTTGAGCCCCATGTTGGGTGTAGAGATTACTTAAATAAATAAAACTTAAAAAAAAATTACATTGAGAGAACAGGCATAAACCAGTCTGTTGCAGGCAAACCAAGACAGTTGGTCACTTCATATATATCCTACCTTTTGGGGGCAGCAGAGGATTAAATGAAATAATCCATCTACAGTTCTTAACACAATGTCTGCAAATTGTAAGCTCAGTGAATGCTTGTTGTTATTATTAAGCTCTGTGCTCTTTAACTTCCTCACTCCTCAAATCGAGATAATAGTACTATCTCACTGGGTTGTTGTGAGACATAAATGAGATCACGTATATGTAAAGTGTTTAACATAGTGATTGACATATAGAAAGTATTTAATAAATGTTAGCTGCTGTGATTTTTATGTTTATTATTACTAATCTTAGACTGTCTTGAATTGCTGAACTTAATTATTTGTCCCATGTAAGTTTTTGGTTCAGACTCACCTCAAGTAGTAAATTTTTTGTGTGCTTTAGGGTGATCGGGTGATTCTTGGTGGAGATCATTATTTTAGATTTAATCATCCAGTAGAAGTCCAGAAAGGAAAAAGACCATCCGGTAGAGATATTCTTATAATCGAGGGTCCAAAAGACTTTGAATTTGCAAAAAATGAGTTGCTCATGGCACAAAGATCACAGTAAGTATTTTTGTTGATATGAAATAGTAAGAACATGAGAGAGGTCTACAAGAGAGAGTTAATCATATTGTGCTAGTCTCTGGCAGTTAATTCTTTGGGTGCTAATTTCTAGTGACATGATCTTTTCTCTTGGTACATTCATTGATTTAGCAGACGTTTATTGAGCAGATATTATGTATCTATTACTATACTAGAAATACAAAGAATACCTGAAATTTAGCTACTATACTGGAGGAATTTATCATCTCCTGGGGCTGACACATAGTTGTGACAGGGTGCCATGACAGAGTCCTGCACTGTGTGCAGTTTATGGAGTGAGGGGTGACTCCTAGTCCTGGCCAGGAATCAGCAAAGTTTTCTAGGGGACAAGAAGACATCCCCTGGAATGGGGTCCCCAGAGACCGTTGGAAGTTAGCCAACGGGATGGGGGAGTGTAACCTTTTTGTTTTCTTTGCCCCATCTTTAGCTCATGCAATATTGTAGGATTTCTGATTTAAGCAGTATCCTTGTAAACTAATAGGTAAAGTATACATAAATAAATACTAAAGCATTAGGACTTTATCTTAAAGGATATGGAATCATTAACGATATTAGGCAGACAAGAGAGAGACCTGACAAAATCACAGTTTTAGAGCTCACCATGACCTAAGTCTGGTAAACCAATTAGAGGCAGAGCAAGTATAGCTTGCAAATGCTGTTCAGAGATTGTTGAAGTAAGAGAAGTACAGTGTGGTTGAGTCAGAGAGAGTATTAAGGAGAAAGAATCAACCACACTTGATGACCAGAGAGGATGAAGGGAGGAGGAATCAGAATGACTAGTATGGACTGGGCTAATCCTACCTTATCTTTTAAAAAGTCTGAACTTGCTTTTGCTCTTTTTAAAAAAAAATTGTGGTACAATATATGTTACATAATATTCACTATTTTAACCATTTTAAAATATACATTTCAAGGGCATTAAGTATATTGACAGTGTGTACAACCATCAAACTATTCATCTCCAGAACTTTTTTCATCATCCCAAACTGAAACTCTGTCCCCATTAAACTGTGACTCCCCGGGCGCCTGGGTGGCTCAGTTGGTTAAGTGACTGCCTTCAGCTCAGGTCATGATCCCACGATCCTGGGATCGAGTCCCGCATCGGGCTCCCTGCTCTGCGGGGAGCCTGCTTCTCCCTCTCCCACTCCCCCTGCTTGTGTTCCCTCTCTCGCTGTGTCTCTCTCTGTCAAATAAATAAATAAAATCTTTAAACAAACAAAAAAAACTGTGACTCCCCATTGTCCCCCTCAACCCCACCCCCTGCCTGTTCCCCCCAGGCCCTGGTCACCACTAGCCTTCTTTCTTTTGATATTCTTTTTTTCAGTGAAATTGGGAATGGAAATTTCTATACAGTGTAGTTGCTAAAACATTGATTTTTTTTTTTAATTTTTATTAAAGATTTTATTTATTTATTTGAGAGAGAGAGCGACAGAAATAGCACGAGAGAGGACAAGCAGGAAGGAGAGGGAGAAGAAGGCTCCCCACTGAGCAGGGAGCTCAACGTGGGGCTTGATCCCAGGACCCTGGGATCATGACCTGAGCCAAAGCAGATGCTTAACTGACTGAGCCACCCAGGTGCCCCTAGAGCATTGATTTTATTGAGAAGAAACAAGCTTTTAGTTTTTTATACTCCTTGATGCTTTTCCCTTATCTATTGAAAGATGACAAACCTAATTTAATGTTTTAACTTACCAAAATGTCAAATTATTATAGATGGTTGAAAATATACAATCTATTTTATCAGCTCTCATAACATTTTTAGAGTTATTTCAATGTTTTCCCTAACCTATGACCTAAACATGAATTAAAAGTTATTGATATATGAAATACAATTTTTGTTCTAACCATTGTTAAACATAAAATACCCTTATTTGGGGGCATCTGGGTGGCTTAATTGGTTAAGCGTCCAACTCTTGATTTCAACTCAGGTCATGACCTCAGGGTTATGAGATTGAGCCCCGTTTTGGGCTCTGCCTCAGTTGGAGTCTGCTTGATATTCTCTCTCACCCTCTCCCTCAGCCCCTACTGCACTATGTGCATGCATGCGCACACACGTGCATGCATGTGCTCTCTCTCAAAAAAAAAAATTACCGTTATTGTGTTTTTTGTAATGTTAACTATAATGTTTACTGCAATGTTCACTATGACATAATATTTTTATATAACTTATTTTCTTTAAGATTAGAAAAATATAGGGACGCCTGGGTGGCTCAGTTGGTTGGGCATCTCCCTTTGGCTCAGGTCGTGGTCTCCCAGTCCTGGGATTGAGCCCCGCATTGGGCTCCCTGCTTCTTGGGGAACCTGCATCTCCCTCTCTCTCTGCCCCTCCGCCCTGCTTGCGCTCTTTCTCTCGCTCTATCTCAAATAAATGGATAAAATCTTAAAAAAAAAAAGGATTAGAAAAATATATTTACTTAAATATCAGGCATCTGCTATAGTAACTAAGAAATAAGCAAATTTTCATCCTTTTATACTGTTTTGCGTAAGCCATTCTAAAAGCAATAAAAATTTAAGAACACTGTTGACAGTGTCAGAAATTAAATGTTGGGTTTTAAATTTTTGTTTAATGAAAACATTTTAATATGATTAAGAACTACTATGGTATATAAAGGATTCTTGACAATGTATCCTGTGAATATTTTGCTACTTTGTAGACTTGAAGCAGAAATAAAAGAGGCACAATTGAGAGCAAAGGAAGAAATGATGCAAGGAATCCAAATTGCAAAAGAAATGGCTCAGCAAGAGCTTTCTTCTCAAAAAGCTGCATATGAAAGCAAAATAAAAGCATTGGAAGCAGAACTGGTAAAAGGGAGAATTGGTTTTTTCTTTCTCTGCTCGTGCACCCTAAGTGATATATTGCCTGTAAAATTGAGTATATCCCTAGAAGGAAACTGGGGGAATATCAAAGACCTAGAGAGTCAAAGCCAAGTGAGTCTTGGCCCTCTTTAATTTTACTTTAGGAAGCAAGTTAGTAGTAGACAAATAGCTGTTGGAAGAAGAAGAAAAATAGAGAAGCTTCTGTCCTCCACTTACATGAGCCCATGGCTCTCTGGTTTCCTGGTCATCTTGCATTCCCACAACCCATTTTAGAGGAACGTGCTCTAGAAGGTTTGACTAGTGATACTTATTTTAAGTTATATTAGTCAAGCTGAATGAGGTAGAAAAACTACAGGGCAACTTTTCTATTGATGAGTCAATTTCTTATACATTGATTAAAGAAATGGACTCTTGTACATTTTTTATATTGTTTTTGAAAAAAACTAGTGTGTTTCTGCCTGTTACTTTTTATTATTGTTCTTTAAAGAAGGAAGAGGCTCAAAGGAAGAAAATGCAGGAAATAAATAACCAAAAGGCTAACGACAAAATTGAGGAATTAGAAAAGGCAAAACAGCAACTTGAACAGGAAATCTATGTCAACAAAAAGCGATTAGAAATGGAGACTTTGGCTGCAAAACAGGTAATTTCATTTTGTAAATAGTTGGCTCTGAGCAACAGCAGGATTTTTTTTTTTTTTTAAGAACTCATGGTACCTAGGAGGAGATGGCCGAATCCGGGTCTCCTGATGAGAAGGGCTCTTCTTCTTCTTTTTTTTTTCTTTTTTTGGGGGAGTTAAGATCATTTTATTTATTTATTTTTTTACGAGAAGGGCTCTTCTTGCCTGAAAGCTTACAACCTGGTAATGCTCCCAGCGCTGCTCACACATCATCACACAAACATTTTGAAAGGGACAGAGCTCTTATTTTGAGCTGGTTCCATTACAGTTTTCTCCTCTTATGCCTCCACAAATATCCTGTGATCCATCAGGCCAAATAATGTAAATGAATGAAATGGTGCTAGGGTACAATGTGTAGAAGGAAGAAAGGCACAGCTCTTATACTGGGTCACATCCTCATGTCAGAATGAAGCATTATCCATCCATGGAAAGTGTGACCAGCAGTCTCCTTGCCTGAGTGACTCCTAAGAGAACTCAGAGTAGGGTGTTCATTACCCCAGTCTTATGAGCTCAGGCCCTGAAACTTTCATCATCTCAGTGAGGGCAGAGTCATGTTTCAGGGGCTGACTCATATTAATCAAGTTCTGAAGACTGAAGTATAAAACCAGATTGTCAGTATTTTAATATCTTGAGTTACCTTTTTAACAACCTTCTTGGGTATTCTTTCTTCTTATATTAGTGGTTGTTAAAATATGGTCTTTAGTCCAGCAACATCAATCAGCATTACTGTTAGAAATGCAGTCTTAGGCCCCAGAACTCCTAAGTCAGAAACTCTGGAGTTGCGGCCCAGATCTATTCTGACAAGTCTTGCATGGGATTTTGACAAATGCTAAAGTTTGAGCAGCACTGTTTTCATCTCTGCTTTGATTCCTTATATCTTAATCTCAAAGTTTTGTCCTTGAATAGCAATTTTATTTCTCTTTTTTCCAAGTTTTGTAGTGAGAGTGGGGGTAGAAGAAAATACCCCTAGTAACCCCAAAGTTCTTATACTATAATATGGTGATAATATGTAACAAGTTAATTCTAGGACACAAAGTAGCTAGTGAACCACCTGAGAGAGTTTTAGAAGAAAAAACAGAGCTGTTTAAATCTTGAAAACAGTAATTATAAATGGGCTCTTATAAGGTCTCTTTGTGGCAAATAAGGTTTTTGTGGTGTCTTTTAAATTTAACTTTATTTGGTCAACAAATGTTCTTGAATGTGGGCTCTTTTGAGCAGTTTTTTCTCTCTCTCTCCCTTTTTTTTTCCCTAAAGGTTTTTTTACTTCCTGTCAATGGGAAGAATAAGATTAATTTATGTCATCAAAAATTCCTAATGATTTTGTTATGGCGTCAAATTTTATAAAGATATTTTATAAATCACTTTTTAAAGGCCTTGTATGCTTAATAAAACGTGTACTGTGAAATGAAGTTTAAGTATGCTGTGTTACCATTATCAATTATAATTTCTCTCTTTGTATATTTTCATGTATGTGTCTATATGAATAAATATCAATTAGGCTTTAGAAGACCATAGCATCCGCCATGCAAGAATTCTGGAAGCTTTAGAAACTGAGAAGCAAAAAATTGCTAAAGAAGTACAAATACTACAGCAAAATCAAAGTAATAGAGATAAAACTTTTTTAAGTGAGTATATGATGATTTTAGCAGGCATTTTCTAAAGTTTTGTGTATGTTATTTCTTATGATATAATTACTAAAATGTTAGCGTTGGTTGCCCTTATATATTAAAAATGGTTTATTCTGGATGTTGCTGACCTTTTTGGATCTAAATAAATTTGTATGCATGATTGTTTCAGAATATTCAGTTTTTAGAATATTTAGTTACATAAGCAAATAGTAAAGAAAATTTCAAGTGATACTTTAATGTGTAACATGTTTTTTAAAGTGCAGTCTCTTATTCTAATATTTTAGGTCTTACATCTAGATTGGACTAAATCATTGGGTACTTCATCTTCTTTTTCACTTAGATGTTATTTTTTGTGTATAATTCTATATTGCTGTATAGAACATGGCATGTTTTTAATGACTTTTTCTCATTATGGAAAATTTCAAACAAACTCTAAAAGTAGAGAGGTTACTACAACAGACTCTTATATACTTATCATCCAACTTCAGCAATTTCTAACACATGTTCGGTCTTGTTCTGGCTATACCCAGCCCCCTTGCCTCCCTGGACTGTTGTGGAGCAAATCCAAGACATCATATCATTTGATCTGTAAATACTTCACTATGTATCTCTGCATTGGATAAGGACTCTCTTTTCTGTCTTTCTCTGTCACTCTTTAAGCATAACCATGATATTTTTATCAAACCTAAAAATATGAATAATAATTTCTTATACTCATCAGATTTCTAGCCTACATTCAATTTTCCCATACATTTTTTTTTATATCTTGTTTGTTTGAGTCAGGATACAAACATGATCCACACATTATGTTTGGTAGATATGCCTTGTAAGTCTTATTTTATTTTTTTATTATTATTTTTAAAGATTTATTTATTTATTTTAGAGAGAGAGGGAGAGTGCCTGCGTGAGCAGGGATGGGGGGGTGGGGCAGAGGGAGAGAGAGAATCTCAAGCAGACTCCGAGCTGAACACAGAACCTGACTCATGGCTCGATCTCAGGACCCTGAGATCACAACCTGAGCCGAAAGCAAGAGTCAGACATGCTTAACCAGCTGAGTAACCCAGGTGCCCCTAAGTCTTTTTATATTTATTTTTCATTTTTATTAAGTAGGCTCCACGTCCAAAGTGGGGCTTGACCTCACTTGAGATTAAGAGTCACATGCTCTACCTACTGTGCCAGCCAGGCAGCCCCATTTTTATTAAAAATATTTATTTATTTATTTATTTATTTATTCATTTATTTATTTTAGAGAGTGAGCAAGAGCACAAGTGGGTGGGGGAGGGGCAGAGGGAAAGAAGGCCCAAGCAGACTCCCTGCTGAGCACAGAGCCCAAAGTGACATCCCATGACCCATGAGATCACCACCTGAGCCAAAACCAAGAGTGGGATGCTTAACAGACTGAGTGACCCAGGTGCCCCTTTTTAAGTCTCTTAATCCATAAATTTGCCTTTCTTATCTCTCTCCTTCCTCTTGTAATTTGCTTATTGAAGAAATCAGGTTATTTATCCTGTAGTTTCCCACATTCTGGATCTTGCTGTTGTATCTACATGGTGTTGCTTAACAGGTTCCTCTGCCCCTATATTCCCTATAAAATGGTAGAGCTATTTCTTCAGGCCTGTCAGATTCTGATTCAAATTTTTAGCAAGAATACTTTGTAGTTGTATTGTATTGTATAACTTCTATTTTTAAATAAATCTGAAACTATTAATGCTTGTTATATCTGTTGTAAGAAGTAAATAAATACATTTACTAATACATCTTTTTATTCTTCTTAGAGCCTAAAAACAGGGTCTTGCAATGAATACTTGTTTTTTTTAGCATGTGTATAATGAATTTTATCCTTTCAAAAAAGTGTTCTGATGGAAAATTGGTGATAAATTTGGGT